CCCTTTTGCACAGAAGCTTTTTTTCCCAAAGACTTGGCCATTGTAGACTCTTGAAGTGAGTATCGTAATTAGGCTCATTAGCATCTGTATCAATTGATAATCTAGCGCGAATCCTGATTATTTTTCTCGCTCTGGATGACTGCTTTAAAATCACTCAGAAATTAGCTGCCTGGCAACATAAAGGTGCAGATATTAAAATGAATTGCATGCCTTCCAACTATTTCCATTACCTTGCTAAATTTAGACTAACTAGTGCTGCTGCAGAATTGAGATCTCTGGGGATTTAATAAGAGTCAAGACAGATAATAGCCAGGCTCCTGGAGCAGTGGAGAAGAAAAGTAGCCTCAAATTAGCTTTTTGCATCTGTCATCACAGTTACTTTATTAAACCCAGGTCCTGCGAAAAGGCAGAGCAACATGCGTGCCCATTCACAAAGCTGATAATGCAAACCTCATGATAGCCTTGTCTTGGGGACAGCATGACTTCCCTTTCCTAAATCCTGGCCTGTCACTATTGCTCAGCATCCCGGGCTTTCTTTCTGCTCCCTCCCCAGTTCCCAGGCCCTCCTGTTTTGCGTGTGGGGGGGGGGGGGGGGGGGGGTGCTCACTGGCTGCTCAGCATATGAGTTTTGCACTCCACAGCTTGTTTGGGAGAGCAGTTGAGTTTGTCTTGCTTCTGTCTGTTTCGTGTCTTTAAGCTGCAGTGTTGTTCAGCACAGTGCAGCACGGCGAACGGGAGCTTGGACACCTGACTTGTAAGTCTTGCCTCTGTCAATGATTTGTAGGGGAACTTTGGGCAATCACTTCACCCGTCTACTCCAGTTGTGCAACATTTGCTATGGATGTAAAACAGTGGTGGGAAGCCTGCAGACCATGGAGGTTCCGTGTGTGGCCCATGCCCAAGGTTTCCAGATTCTGCTGATTTTCATGCTCATAGTTTTTTTCATAAGAACAGCAACACTGGGTCAGACCAAAGGATAAACTTAAACTTCATGTGTCCACCTGGGGGGCATGGTGGGAGGTTATGTCTGGATAACAGGTCGAACATTCCCATGCAGCCAAAGCCTTAGAAAGCTCATTGATTTTAGGCAGCTCCTCAAGCGTATTGCTGCTCAGAGGGAGTTCCTGTTCTGGGCAGGGCGGCAGGTCGTGCTCTGAGCCCTGCAGATGTTGAACCTGGTTTGGGTCTTGGTGGGCAAAGCAGTTTTGAAAGCACTGAAACTTGGACATGGGGAGCCAGCATGATTCAGAGCAGCCAGTGGCTTGGGGGGAGGGAGGGGAATAATGGAGTAGTGATTTAAAAAAAAATGTCGGGGAGTCTTTCATTGAAGGACTTAAAAAGGGCTTTTGCAGCATTCATCCTCCCAGCCCCACTGTAGTAGGGGAGCGGGATCCCTGTTTTACAGTGGATAATCTGGAGAAGGGAATTGTCTTGGCCCAGTGAGCCTGGGGCTAGAACCCAAGAGTCCAGCTTCTCGCTGACAGGCTGATGCCCTCCACCGAGCTGAAGTGTTGCCAGCCTGAAAGAGGTGCCTGCAACCAGAAATGTTATAACCAGATGTGCCAAAGTGGTGTCTGATTCCAGGAGCCCAGTTTCAGGGCAGTGGGTCTAATTTTTTTTCCAGAATTGCTGAAAAATCTCCCGCTACCATCAGCTGGAGTTTGGGGGTGCGCAGCACTTCGGAGAGCCAGCCTGAGAGTGTCTGGAGTTGGGACTCCCAAACTAGAGGCTGCTGTTGAAACTTTGACTTGAAGGAACTTCATGTGCAGTAAGTGAAATGAAAGCTCAGCTATGGGGACAAACAATGCCATCTGTAGCAAATCCCTAACTGGCAATTTCCTGCTGTGTTTCTGTGGGGGAAATTACATCAATTATATACAGCCTCTGTGAGGTGTTGTGCTGGAAGCATGATTAATGTGTCCTTGGTAGATAGCAGTTTAACAGTTTTCTACCATAGAGCAGGGGGTAGAATAGGCATTTTCCCTCCACAACTCATGGCCTTTAAAGGGACAAAGTGGTGCAGGTTAGATTAGAATTTAGAGTTAAGTGTAATTTAAGATTACAAAATCGAAGAGAAATACAAGTGACTTCATGAACTTTTAGTTTCCCGTGAAAAGTTGCTGTTTGGTGTAACCATTCTCCAGCAATTTCAGCCCAAACATTATAGCCCTAGTGAAATGAACTAAAGCACTACTTTAAAGTGATCTGACCCAAGTGTGTTAGGGAAAATGGGGGTGTTCTGTTTATAAGAAGCACCCATAATCTTTTTCAGGGGACAAGGCAGTGTGCCGTGTTTATTAGGAATGTAAATCCCAATTAATTGGTTAAAGGGTTAAATGCAGTACTACCACTGCGATTGAGAGGGCGGGGGGCCACTGGGGTGGGGCTAGACTCCGTGGGCCTGCCTGCTCCAGACCCCTGTGTGGGGACTGCCCCCGTGAGTCCTGGCCTCTGGGGCTCCCAGTTAACTGTCCAGCCTTTGCCGCTCCAACATGGCTGGCAGGAGAGTGTCCTGCTGGCCTGCCCGGGCTGAGTCCGACCGGCAGGAGTTGGGGCCTGCCAGGGCTGGAGACCCACCTCATGCCCTGCACAGCTGGGGCTGGGACGCTGCAGGGCTGCCCCCAGGATCTGACTGGTGCTGGACTGCTCCCACGTGGTCATGACCAGGGCCTGATGTGCCGTAGGGCTGGGGCCCAGCATGCTGTGGGGCAGGGGCCCAAGCTGGAGTCCCTCAAGCTAGGCTCAGCCAGGGCTGCTCAAGCCTGCCGTTGTTGGTTGTAAAACTGGTTACCTGGTAAGCACTAGCCCTACTGGAATGCTTCTCAAGTAACCGGTTAGCCTTTTACATCCCTGACTGTTCTGTTTTACAGAAACAACAACAAAAAATTGCAAAGTTGACAAGAAGCGCAACTTAATTTGTGATGCTAACAAGAAGCAAGGGTGGCTGGATTTACTACCATCAATATACTTATATTCTTACATCAGTACAGGTTGGACATCTCTCGTCCAGCGCCCTCGGGAACTGACTGGTCGTGGATGAAGGATTTTGCCGGACCAGGGGAGGTCATTTCTGGCCCCCTTGTTGCCGGCCCCATCCTTGCCCTGTCGTCCCATTAGGCTTCCTGGCTCCAAACTACTGGCCTTTCCACCCGCCTTGCACTCCTGCTCCTCTGTCCCCTCTCCCTGGGCAACACAACAGCTTTCTGACTCCCTGTGCTGCCCAGCTGGGCCACCGCTCCCCTACCCCCACCCCCTGGCAGCGTGCTCCCCTACCCCCACCCCCCCCCACAGCGTGCCAGGACACTCTGATCCTGGAACAACCATGGTCCTACCAGACCACAGATGCTGCTGGACCAGAAAGTCCCTGTTTATAGAGGTGCAACCTGTATTAAAATATGACATTTTGGCTACAGGGAGCTATTAGAATCTGGGAGCAGCAGCTTTGGTAAAGAATGCTTAAAGTGTGTTCTCAGTGACCTGGCTTGATTTTGAATTCTGTTTCTCTGGGAACAGATGTGTGGCCCACTCCTCTCTCACGCTTTAAGAACCAATTATAAGAGAAGAATTCTTTCTTTCTACAGGGTCATAACGTGCACAGGGCTCCAGACACACACAACATGATAAAGTGGGACCCTATTCTAGATTAGTCCTTAGGCACGTCATAATAAACACAATGGCTGTGTCTACACTGTGTCTACAGATTTCCGTTATAAGTATTTCTGGAAAAAGCGCATCTACATTGGCAGGATACTTTTCCGGAAAAGCACTTTTCCAGTAAAGTGTCCGTGCCAATGTAGACGCGCTTTTCCGCAAAAAAACCCCGATTGTCATTTTCGCGATCGGGGCTTTTTTGCGGAAAAGACTACTGGGCTGTCTACACTGGCCCTTTTCCGGAACAGTTTTTCCGGAAAAGGACTTTTGCCTGAACGGGAGCAGCATAGTTTTTCCGGAAAAACAATGACAATTTTACATTAGATCGTTATTGCTTTTCCGGAAAAGCAAGCGGCCAGTGTAGACAGCTTTCAAGTTATTCCAGAAAAGCAGCCGCTTTTCCGGAATAAGTGGCCCAGTGTAGATACAGCCAATGGTTATTAATACTGACTAGTGTAATACTGACATTGTCTAAGCCAAGAGAGCTGCAGAAGAGAAAACTCCTGCAGTTTCAGTGCTCCAACATTATCTTGGTTAGGAAACTTTAAAAAAAACAAGAAAAACCCACCAAGACTTTATTCTGATGGTGGTCTTAAAAAAAAAAAAAAAAAAAAGTCTCTGCTTGTAATCTGAGGTGTGTGTGTTCATTAGACTTAGACTTCTGGCTCTCGGGATGGATGGGTTTTATTTGTTTAGCCCCAGCCGGGGAATCAGGAAGTCTAGATCCAATTCCCACCTCTGCCACAGAGATGCCTCAGGATGGCGACTTTTAGGAAAGATGGGTCAAATTGGAGAGAGTCCAGAAGAGAGCAATAAAAATTGTAAAAGGGTTAGAAAACCTAGCCATTGAGGAAAGGTTAAAATCTGGGTGTATTTAATCTTGAGCAAAGAAGTCTGAGCAGAGGATCAGATAAGTCTTTGCACATGTTAAGGGCCGTTATAAAGAGGCCGGTGATAAGTTTATTTTCAGCGTCCACTGAAGGTAGGACAAGACATACTAGGATTCATCTGCAGCAAGGGAGATTTAAGTTAGATATTAGGAAAAACTTGATAACTCTTAGTGCAGCAAGGGAGATTTAAGTTGGATATTAGGGAAAAACTTGATAACTCTTAAGGCCTTGTCTGTTTATCTGGAGATCGATGCTCTGGCGATTGATCTTCTGGGGTTCAGTTTAGCCCCAGTAAGGATCCACTAAATCCATGCTGATGGTGCCCCGTCAACCCCAGTACTTCATGGGGGTCATGAGGAGTAAGGGAAGTTGACAGGAGAGTTTCTCTCACCAACCTCCCACAGTGGGGACACCACAGTAAGTCAAGGGAAGGTATGTCCTCTCCAGCTACACTATTCTTGCAGCTGGAGTTGCGTACCTTAGTTGACTCTTGTGTAGACCTGGCCATCCCCATTGTAGATAAGCACTGGGATCCCCATTGTAGGAGGTTTTTAGAACAGATTATTGGACGAGCGCCTGTCAGAGCTCGTCTAGATTCACTTCGTCCTGCCTCAGCCAGGGGGCTGGACTTGATGACTTCTTCAGGTCCCTTTCAGCTGGACGTTTCTGTGATTCTGTGTCCTCGGGCAAATCACTTCTCCTCTTTGCCTCATTTCCTCATCTGCGTAAGGTGGCCCGGTACTGACTGTTCTCATGGGGGTGTTGAGCTTGTTGATGTTTGTAAGGTGGTCAGGGGCTGCAGTGAATGGGGAAGTGGTGTCTATATATTCCTAGATAGATCTTGAGATTTCCCAGTCTTTAGCACCTGGTCCAGTAATATTAAAAAGTGAAAGGAGAAGGAGAACCCCAGGCCATGGCAGCTGGAACCTCACCAAGGTCCTGAAGAACGTGTCACTGGTGTAAATCTATGGGATGTTAAAAGGTGTAAATTTAAGTACCCCCCATCATTAGCACCTTCCCTGACCTAGGCAGGCGCAGCCTGGGATGAGCCAGTGGGCTCTTGATGTAGGGCCTCAGTGACAGGCTGGCACCTCTTGGGCCCAGCATCAGGGCACCACTGTAGCCTGTCCTGGTGCAGGACTTGAATGGCAAATCTCCCCCAAATTAACGCACTCCTGACTGAGTTATAGACTGATGGCTGTGTGTCTCAGTGCACTCTCCCCTGGAATATTGGCGAAGGAGGATTTCTTCCCCCCATCTGAAGGAAAGGAGCCTTGTCAGATACCTCTCAAAATAATGTTGGGGTTGCTATTCAGCCTTCTCCTGGGAGTGCCTGAGGTGAGGGGGAAAATCTCTTCTTCTTAAGCTTGTCTTGGTTCAGAATGTCCAGTTTCTTTGGAAACAACCCCCGCACCCTCTCCTGCTGTCTAAGCCCTAGTGAACCTGCTGAAAAGACAGCCTGACCTACTTCTGGCTTTTGAATACGTCAGCAAAGGTGAGGCGTTCTCCTGCTGAGCCTTGTTTGCGTTCCTGAGTGTGGGCAGCAGCCACAGAAGCATTGATCAGATTTCCAAGACTTGCGTGGTGTCAGAATGCTGGGATTCCCTTGTATACGTCTTGTCAATAGGGCACATGCTGATGTGTTATTCTGTAGGAAGCCCGATTTCATTATGTATTGGGAGCGCATACTGGGTTTGTGCTCTGCAGGCTTACTCACTGCCGACTCCCATTGAATTTCTCTCAGATGATTATTGAGTGTGGGCAGAGGCAGCCTACCCATTAGACCAGCTCTCTGATATTTTTTTAAATGAAGTTTTAAAATTTTGCTATTGCTTTGACATCATTTTCTGTGCAAGTCTAATTTCTCCTGAGCCGAGTTTAGACACAGAACTCTTTTTATTATGGGAGATGTCTCCTCCTGCCTCAGAAACTGACCTGGCTTGTAAGACTTTGTGCTTCTTATCCTGTGTGACTTGTTTTTGTTCCTCCCCATCCTGAAACAAATTGGATGTGTGTATCAAATCTGGCCACATTCAGAATGATTTGGCATTGGGGGACAGACTTGGTAGCACACATAAGATGATGTCTACACAGCAAAAGCTTGAATCCAGCTAGGATATTGCATGTGGCTTGCCTGGCTCAGACTCTGGATTATGTCACCGCAACTGTTATGAGTCTAGAACAAATATGTTCATGGGCTTATCTACACACACACGTTGTACTGCTT